GAGTTACAGTTTAATTTGGTGGAAGCAAATGAGAATAGTGGGAGATGAAATTAAATCCATAGAATAGGGTTAGATCACAGAAGGCCTTGTTGGTCTTGTGAAGGTTCCATGATTTTTTGCTATAAGAACCAGTGATCTCCAAAAGCTTTCAGCAATAATAAGAGAACTTTGTACTGGAAAGATAAGTGTAATAGTACTGATAGTTGATTGAGGCAATCAACTGATTGGTGAATGGAGTCTAGAGACCAGTTTAGATGATACTGCCAAAACCTAGACAAAAGGTAATGAGGGTCTCAATGAGGCTACTGTCACTTGGTCCTTTCGTCATTAGCACTTCCACTGTCCTAAGTAGGTATCTGTAAGCCTTACCATAGATGTGCATTTATTTGTACTGTAATTATTTTACTTGTCCCTCTTCTTTTCTTTTCTAGCAATATTTAACTCTCACGGTGGACACTTCAAATAAACCCCAAATTTCTGTTCTTCCTTTTGCTACAGTAATGAAATGCCTCAAGTTTTAGCTGAACACAGAGCTACCTGTCAGAGACTACATTTCCCAGCCTCTCCTGTAAGTGGTTGTTGCCATAAGCCTAGGTTTGGAAATGGATTTGAGCAAAAGTGATGAGTGCAGCTTCTGGAACATGCTGCTTGCTCTCCATTTCTTCCTACTTTTTCTTGCAGGTTGCTCCTTACTCATTTTTCTCTCCTCTTGCATGAGGTAGGTGTTGGAGATTATGCTCTTTTGGAACGATATAACTCTTAGCCCTTTTCCTGAAGGAAAAGGTATGGGGACCTAGAGTTGCTGCAAGGGTCAGTCTTTCATAGGCTTTTGCAAAAAGGGAAAATATAGGCCTATGACTAAACTCTGGCCAGTGGGATGTGAATGAAAGTGGGGTGCTGTGTTGGGGTCATGCTCATAAAAGGAAGCACTCTGTTTCTTATTTCCTCCATCCTGAGAGTAGGGATTTGACCCTGGTGATGGTGAGCTCACCTGGACTCAGGGCATCATCTTGCAGGATGCAAAACAAGAACATACAAGGCTCCTAAGTCCCTGGAGCTATCTCATGGGGAAGTAGTGCCCAGTCTCCATGAATTGCCTACAAACTTGGACTCTGAGAGAACTTCCATCTTAGTTAAACTATTGTTATTTGGTCACCGTTACAGCAGCCAAATCAATATCTTAATATATAATTTATAAATACTGACCATTGCTCCTATGTGTTGAATGAATTAGTAAGCATAGAAGTTTCTATGTAAGTAAAGTAATATTAAAGAATCATTTCTCCCATTCCCATAAACTTTGAGCATAAAACATCTATAGTCTACTGAAAAGGAAAGATATAGTATAAAGCTTCAGCTGAAGTCAGCATCTCATTCATCATAACCTTGGGCCCATATCCTAACTTGCTTTATGATAAGGTAGGTTAGCACAGAAAGCAACTACCATCTGTTGAGAAGAAGCCAATGCAACACTGGGTTACTGGTTTCTGGTTATAGGTTCTATCAGACCACAAACAAGGCCTTTAAAGGGAAAATAAACTAGGAAATCTTCAAATTCTGCATCTCCTATCATTCTTTTGAGTCAAACATTATAATAATATGAATTTGATTATTATTCTCTGATTGCAGGACTTTTCTCATTGCTTGTTTCTATACAGAATGCAACAACAATTTCACAGAGGTAAAGTAAAGGAACTACTTACAGTTGAAGAACACTTGACATCGGGATTAAAAAAAAAAAACTAGCTACTTACATTTATCATTATTTTGTAAATAATTTTGCATTCACATACATAGATTATGACTGTTTAAGGATTTCGGCTTGCACAGCCCACCTGATCATATCTTTCTATGATCAAGCTTGTATACTTATATTACTAAAGCACCCTCAGTGAAACATTGGGAGTCTCCATATACCTCCTTAGGATATAGTTCTGCAAGTCTTTTGGGGAAGTGCACTGGAATGGTGACTTATTTAATTAGTGAGTGTTGGAAAGAGGAACTGATGGCAAGCCCTAACACTAGAAAAGTGGTTTGAGGGTTGGCTTTTGGAACAAGGAGTTGCAATTAAGAAAAGCTGGACAGGGCTTCCTTGGTGGCACAGTGGTTGAGAGTCCGCCTGTCGATGCAGGGGACATGGGTTCGTGCTCCGGTCCGGGAGGATCCCACGTGCCGCAGAGCGGCTGGGCCTGTGAGCCATGGCCGCTGGGCCTGCATGTCCGGAGCCTGTGCTCTGCAGCGGGAGAGGCCACAACAGTGAGAGGCCTGCATACCGCAAAATAAATAAATAAATAAATAAAAGCTGGACAATCCCACTACTGGGCACATACCCTGAGAAAACCATAATTCAAAAAGAGTCATGTACCACAATATTCATTGCAGCTCTATTTACAATAGCCAGGACATGGAAGCAACCTAAATGTCCATCGACAGATGAATGGATAAAGAAGATGTGGCACATATATACAGTGGAATATTACTCAGCCATAAAAAGAAATGAAATTGAGTTATTTGTAGTCAGGTGGATGGACATAGAGACTGTCATACAGAGTGAAGTAAGTCAGAAAGAGAAAAACAAATACCGTATGCTAACGCATATATATGGAATCTAAAAAAAAATAAAAAACAAAAATGGTTCTGAAAAACCTAGGGGTGGGACAGGAATAGAGAATGGACTTGAGGACATGGGGAGGGGGAAGGGTAAGCTGGGACGAAGTGAGAGAGTGGCATGGACATATATACATGTGAGAAGCAGCCCCATAGCACAGGGAGATCAGCTCGATGCTTTGTGACCACCTAGAGGGGTGGGATAGGGAGGGTGGGAGGATGGGAGACACAAGATGGAAGAGATGTGGGAACATATATATATGTATAACTGATTCACTTTGTTATAAACCAGAAACTAACACACCATTGTAAAGCAATTATACTCCAATAAAGATGTTAATAAAAAAAAAAAGAAAAGAAAAGCTGGAGATTGGCATGTTATTTTCTGAATAGAAATAAACCTTAGGAAAGAGGGGTGTTTTGACCATGTAATGCTGAAAGGTCTACAGTTGAGGGCAGAAATGTTGAAATGTTAATATTGGATACGAAAAGGAAGGGTTTTATTTCCTGTACCACTGAAGTTAGTTTGTATAAACAGTCTCTCTCTTTTATCAAGACTTGACCATTGCTGTTAGTGGCGGTTCTCCTTGGAGTTTTAAGGACTGAGACTTTGTTTTGCTGATCCCAAATCCCCAGAACTATGCTGAGCAAGTTCTCAGATTTAAAAAAACAAACCAAAAACAATCAAACAAAAAAACTATTGTTGATTGAATGAATGAATGGATGGATGAATAATGTTTGCATCTAACAATTATGATTTCCACTAAATGAAGTGAAAGAATGACTCATCCTCTTTTGAGGATCCCAAAGGAGACATAAATATTACACTAAGGGATTTTCCTTAAGTATATGGAAACAAAAAGATAATTTATCTCAAATAAGCTGTTTATAATGAAGGCTGCTTCATAATCAATTTTTTTGTTTGAGTCTTGTAAGCATATTTGTTACATTTGTCAGTACTGAAATACTTGATTTTCCAGAATTATGACTTTAGGTGAAAAGCTATGTTTTTTCAAAAGAAAACGTGATTATAAATATAGGTTTAGAAAAAAAAGAATCTGACCAATTTTTTACATGTCTTTGAAGAAATATAACATTGAAAAAAATCACTAAGATTATAATCATATATACTGTTTAGAAGAAAAAAAGAAATAATTAGCTTGAATGTTATGGTATTCTGTGTTGCTGATAAATGAGTCATATTGACTCCCATGACCACATATTCACATGAAATACATGCAAAAGGACTGCAGTTACAACAAGCAGAGAGTTTTAGTCTATTTCTAAGAATTTTAACTATTGCAATTCAACTGACACACATTCTGATAACCAGAATTTCATTTTGTGTAGCAACATGGGAATCTGGCCTCAGCGTCTAAAGGTGATCTGTTTCATTCATGTATTTTAAGGATGTGGTTTAGGAATAAGGTATTAGGTTTGCAACATTTATGTAAAACAAATAATGTGACAGTGGAAAGCAATGCTCTTCATTTAACATAATGAGTTGCTCTACAATAAGTCAGATCCTCCCAGAGTGTAAATTATACAAATTTGAAAGCTGCATTTATTATTGAATATCTCATTCACAGACAAGTGCTTACTCAGTAGTAAAACCTGGTGTAGCATACCAAATTAAAAGTTTTTTTTTTTAAACTGTCATGCACGTACCCAAACCATTTGTGTGCAGTTTAAAACTTTTCCTCCTAAGGAAACTATTGAGAATATTGAGAATAGTTGATTTTTACTACCACAAAACAGTAGAAATCAAATATGAATTGTATTAATAGGCAGAGATACTTGAACAGAAGCTTGGATTGTTTAAAATTAATAGTTTAAAAGATCTATCTGGAAATAGACTTCTTATTAAGTTGCCTTTTAGTACTTTAACATGCGATTTTGTGAGAGTGTTGTTAGAAGAAATGCTAGGATATTCTAAAAATTTCTAGGTTGATTGATGAAATTTCTTACTGTTATTATGTTCCCAGCTGTACATCAGCACATGTTAAATTTTGCAAGAGTTTATGATTTCTAAGAACTCTCCTTCTATAAGGCCTTTTGCTGAGTGAGACAGTTTAGGAATCAATAAGTAAAGGGGATCTTTCTTCTTTGTGTAAATAGCTTAAGAGTAAATTTAGGTGGTCTAGAAACCGTGAGTTATTAGGAAGGTGCTTAGAAACGGGCACAGTAGGTCAGCTGCCCGAGATCCCTTCTAGCAGCCTAGCCTGGACCTCCACACTCTGTTGGGCACCGTCTGTTACTGGCCGAGTAATTGCCATTTTTGGCAAAGACCACCCTAGATATGGGCTCAGAATCCATCCTAGGGCTAGCCATCCTCTACAACCTGGTGTCCCCTGATTCGGAGCGAGTACATTCAATTCAGGAAGATCACTTACGACTGAGTTTTTCATCATGGCTTTGACTGTGAAGCCCTCAGAAACCAGGGAGTGAGGCTGGTGCACCGGGAGCGGCAGCTTGGTCCTCTTCGGCATCTTGTCTGGGCATTTGTTTAAGCTCAGGGTCTCTTTTTCTGCCACCATCTTCCTAGAAAATGTCTTGTTCTCATAAAACGTGTAGGAAAAGAATCAGTGAGTTTTACGGATGTGAGAAGGAGGTCGGGAAAAAACGTAAAAAGGCGCGTTACTGGTAGAATTTCACGCCCTCGTAGTGCCCAAGTTGATCCAGATGTTTGGCAGCTCCCAGGTGAAGGGAGTTGAGGGGAGGGGAAGGGCGGGAAGAGGGCAGGGACAGAGGCTAGAGCCGCAACAAGCTTCCAAAGGTAACCCTCCCGGTTGCTAAGCGACACGTCAACACTGCGACCGAATGACCCTGCCTCTCGGTGACGGACGTTTCCTAGGCCTCAGGCCGGAAGGGCGGCGGGCGGCGGGCCGCGGGCCGCAGCGACCGACCTGAGGAGAGACTACGCATTAAAACTACGACTCCCAGAAGGCCTCGGGCTAAGCCCCCTTTGCGCATGCGCGCCTCACACAGACGGGCGCGAAGGACAGGATTCCTGGACGATTTAACCCGGGAGTGCCGCTCGTGTGAGGCGCAGGCGGGCGCCGGCGTGCGTGTAGGCCCTTGCTCGCCCGGCAGCCTCCAACTGCCCAGTGGCCATGATAGGTACGTGGGTACCTGACAGGTACAGCCTCTCTGCGCCGCCCCGCGCCCAGCTGTTGCGCCGCGCCGGGCCTCGGCTGACAGGGACGCCGGGGTGCTGCCCGTGTCCGCTGTCCGTGGCAGGGTGTCGGTGTCCGCGCCGTCCTCAGCCTGCGCCGCCGGCTCCCCGGTGCCCGCCGTGGCCCTGGAGAATAAGTGTGTGTGTGTCCTAAGCCCCCACCCGGCCCTCGTTTGACGGGCTTCCCCCTGGAGCCAACTTCTCGAGGGACTCTGGCGTGCGCCTCGGCGCTGCCCGAGGCGAAGGCTGCGTCCCGCGGTCCGTCAGCGAGCTCACCGCCCGCCGGACCTCTAGGGGCCGTGGGAAGGCCCCGCCTTCCGCTCCGGTTTCCGTCCCTCAGGGCGCTTGGGAGGCGGTCTTGCCGCTTAGGACAGATTGGGACCCACTCTCCGGAGAGCTCTTTAAGGGAAACGCTCGCGAAGCGCTAAGCTCTAATGGACGGTGCCTAGGGACGATGGTTGAGGTCAAAACAAATTCCTGCAGATAGATTTAAACTTCTTGCTCCCTTGGGTTTTGTCTTCTAAATCTCTCCCTAGAGGTCTGAGTTGAAAGAATAATTGAGTCAGTGATAACAAGGATCAAAATTTTCGCATAGTGAACTAACGATTCATTTTGCAAAAACAAAACAAAAACAAACAGAAAAAACACTTTTTTTATACACAGAAGGCCCTAGGTGCATTTATGTGAATAAAGCTTTGGAAGTGGCTGTTAGAGTTGCTTATAAACCCTGTAATATATAAGATTAGAAAAGTTCCTGTCTTCCAGGATTGTTAAGCCAAAAGTTATTTTAAGGGTTATCTCTGAAAATTAATGGAAACGCACAGTGTGATTACAAAACATTGATGTTTGGGGAGTTTATTATGACAGATTTCCTGTAGATTATGTATTGGTTTGGTGAGTTTGTTTGGGGATTATTCTTGAATGGGCACCACTTACGAAACGCAAGTACATCTGAAGTCAGATGACGTCTATCCAAGAAGATAGAAGGTGATTTTTAAAAATATATGTTTGTATGCACTGATAAACTTACATCTTTTATTTATTAAACGAATGCTAAAATATAAAACGTTTTATCCGTCACTAGGAGAATCACGCCAGCTGACACTGTGTTTGCAACAATAAAACCTAAGGATGTCCAATTTTTCTTACCTTTCTAGCATGGTATGATTGCTGGTGAAGCTATATACAGGCAAGAATTTAAGATCTAAAAGTCATCAATAACAATTCTAAATTGTTATCTAATAGACGATTATATAGATAACTGTTAGAATGAACTATGTTTATGCAGTTTGGGATTTAGGAACACAGGAAGGAAACGTATTATCTTTAGATTTGATGGTTAGACATTTATTAATAACTGGTAGTGATGTGGAGAATGTAAGGTGGATTTTTAAAAGTGTTCTTTCTCATACTCCAGCTATTGTTTGACACAGTGCAAATAAGTGTATTACAACATAAATAAATCCATGCTCCCTCCCAAGAAAAGTACCTTACTTGTTAAAACCATGTGGACAATGTACAATAAATTATACAGCTAGTCAACTACTTGCATTGCCTAATTTGGTCAATGGGTACATTTTAATAAAAATCTTAATTGCCAATTTTGGAGTTGGTTCAGTTGAATAATGCCAAAGGTAAGTGAAAGTGGGAGCAATTGAAGGAAAGTCTTGGAGTGATGTTTCCCGTTTCTGACTAAACTTTGGAGCCAAGAAAGGCCTTATTTATAGTCTATATCCAGTGATATACTGGAGATTAAAATATACATTAATATATATCTGGGGATTATTTTATTTTTGTTAGAGACGTGTGCTGCTCAGAACTTGCCCCTTTTGTGCCTATGCTGTCTTTAATTGCTACACATTCTTTAATGCTAACAGTACTCTTCTAGTTTATTTAAATCTCAGCTCAATTTTAAGGAGAAACAAAAATTGCATTTCTTGGTAGAATAGGAGTAAGGGGGATTGACTGTTGCCTCACTACCAGTAAAATTACCTTTTTTTGCTTTCTCAAAATTCAGGATTCTTTCTTGGCACAGAGACAGTTTCTAAAGTACTTACATTTTCCAGTTAGATTATGATTAATATGTTAAATGCCCTGACTCAGAGAGCTATAGAAATATAATTTAAGTGGGTGAAAAATTATGATGTTTTGAGAAATATGGAGAGGATGTTAAGATAACATAAAGCATAATAAAAACTTAAGAGAATTCAACTTAGAAAAATGTAATTTTTGGTACCTCTCTTAAAATTATATTTCACCCTTTTTTAAAATTACCATTTTTGTGTGTTTAAAATTGAATTTTAATAGTAATATTTGTGGTATATTCTATATGTATGTTGTATAGAACTGGATTTAGGTATTTAAGTAGTATCAGATGTTAAAGTGCATGGATATATATATAACCATGTTGCCAATTTTGAAATTCAAACTCAATGTCTTAAAAATGATTTTTGAGTGATTTAAAAAATAATTAGAACATAATCTCTTCTGTATCTTGTTTAACTTAACATTTCTTAGAAGACTTACAAATCTGCATGTACAAATCCACCCTACAGTGATTCCTGCCTAGTATTTAGTGGATGTACATAACTCATGCAGGTACTCTCCAATAAGTGAGCATACAGTAGGTTTACAGACAGTTGCTGTCATCAGGAAGGTTTGTGTCCATATCATTTCATTTGCATATGTAAGCCTATATGTCAAGTAAAAATATTATTACAGTTTCTAAGTGGATTTTCTAGCTAAAGGGTTTGTAGACTTTGAATTTTGCTAGGGATTTCCAAATTGTTTAAAATAAATTATGCTGTTTTACATTTCTATCTGCCATAACAAGGTAGCAAAGAGCTGTCCTACTCCTCTGAGCTGAAAAATTACAAAAGGACATCCTTCCCAGAACTGACCCAGCATTCAACAGCAAAGCACCTACTGGGTTTCCCCTCTCTCTCCAAAGATATTGCCTTCAAACAGTGCACAAGGTGCACAACTGTCCTTAATGGCCCTGTCCCCCTCCAACAATGTTTATAAGAGTGTCCACGTTCCCTCTGTGTAACATAAAATTTTTTATTTTTGTCTTTCTGATAGATGAAAAACAGTATATTTTAATTTTTTAAATGAATCCTATGAAGAAAAAACCTTCACAACCTTCACTTCTCATTTTATAATGCTTTATTTTCATGAAAGCAGATTCAATAATTGAGTATCTACTGTGTGCCCAGTACTGTTCCAGGTGCCAGGGACACATGAGTTAAAAAAACCAAAAAACAGAAAAAAACACCCCGCCGTCATGAATGTACAGTCTCACTGTACTGTTTGCCCACAAATCTGCATATTTGTTTTAAAGCTTGTATGCAGTGAATTTTAGTCTCAGAATTTATATTTTAGTTAAATATACTGTCTACTGCTACTTGCTCTGCCATTTCAATAATTTTAGATGAGAAGTGATCCTGCATCTAAGTACCCAAGGTAGGCTCTGAAAGCTGTTTATGATGAGGTACAATTGTGTCACAAAAGAAGTTCTAAGTTTTTGCATAGATTTCATGTAATTATGTACAGTTCTTCTTTGGGTCCAAAGGCTCTGGAATGATGACTCTATGCCCTTTTCAACTTTGGAACTATTTCTAAGGATTTTTTTGAAGTCTACATTTTTTTGAAACCTAATGGCTTCATTGCTTGAAGATGATACAATGAAAGTACTTTGTATTAAGATATGCAAATCCATTTCTACCTCCAAAGCTTCTTTGAAAAATTCAGAAAAGAAAGTTCTTCTTACTTGGTAATGTTTCATATTCATGAAAGCAGTTTCAATGCAGAATACTTTATTCTGTTAGCTTTTAGTTTCTTGATCAGTGGAAATTGTTTCTTACCTGCTGTTTCTTCAGCCTTTAATTGTGGCCCAGTGCTTATATAGTGTTTCTGTTTTAATTTTCATTTAATGAGCTTATTTTAAATGTTTCTTTGTAGTAATCTGAATGGTTTCTTTCTTAAATTTTTTAATATTAAAGAAAGAGATTTATGTTGCAGCTCACCTTCCTGTCTTATTTACTTATATGCTTGGTCATGTATTGAGACCATCTTAAGACATTTGTATTTTTAAGAGTGTTGATGGGTTCTTGATGATATCTCCAGTTGACTCTTACTGTAAGACTTCAATAGGGTTCCCCATAAAGGATAATTTTAGAGCCCTTAACATCAGAAGAGAGAAGAATCTCTGTGTACAGCACATAGCAACCTTCCCCATCCCTTAAACCCCCACCCTTATCAAATTAGGGGAAAAAAGTGGTGATTAGGGAACTAATAACTGGTGTTCCAATTGAAACATGTTCATTATTTATCCATGTAATTGATGAATGCACCAGTTATTCCTACTATTAAGTGTTTTTTGAACTTTCAGTGAATAAATAATATTACCTGAGATGAAGCCCTTTGCAGTTACATCGTCATTTTTAAGCTTATTCAGAGTAGATCCATGTTCCAGAACATGGAAAGACAGGAATTAGACACCTGAAATTCACTCAGTATTAACATGGAGAAATGGGACTGAGGTTTGTAATGTGTGTGTTTCGGACGTGAACCTCTGGTTGTAGCATCTACCTGTACTCTCC